GATCGATGAAAAGCAGAAAAACCCGCAGTCACCAGACGTGGAGAAGAAAATTACGCTAGAAGACCTCGAAAACGCAAGACGTGAAATAATCAAGCAGCTCATTCATAGGCAAACCTTTAATGAAGAGATAGCAAAGTTAGTTAAAGGTCTTACGATCAAATCCAGCAGTCTAGCCAGACTAAAACCGACCCTTGACGAAGAAGCAATTTTACGTGTTGGAGGCAGAATTTCAAGAGCGCCAATATGCCAAGACGCTGCGAACCCAATGATATTGCCAAGAAAACATCACGTGACCAGAATATGTATCCGGTTTCTGCACGAAAGAAACGGTCATTGCGGGCACGAACAAGTTTTAACCCTATCTAGAGAACATTGTTGGATTCTAAAAGGACGCGCAGCGATAAAGGAAGTTATCAACGGATGCATTAAATGCTCACAACTTTCATCAACTGATTCTTTCTCATCTTCTTTTGTTTGATTTTCGGCCAATAATTCTTGCACTGTCTATACAAGTCAACCAAATCATTATCTATACATAAAAAGTGTGCCTTATCTTTTCAACTTGATTATTAATTGCATCTGTAATTGAAAACATTTACAACTTAGGGTCAGGTGGTATTCAGCATACAGTTGGAAATATACAGAGTTTGGTGCCAAAACTTTGCACCAAGTAGGAATATGGAATCAGCATTTGGTCATACCTTTAACTCTATTAATCCGTCCTTAAGTCTGGTTCACATATGCCTGCGGCATGCCTGCGACGTATCATTATGCCTCTACTTGCCGCCGAAATACCGGCAAAGTTGAACTCAAGTCAACTTTCCCGGCCTACCGCCGATGTAACTGAGGCACTGGCGGCAATCGGCGAACAAATATTCACATAATTTACGTTTTAAGCTACCACCGGCATCGTCGCCGGTACGTCGCAAGCACGTTGCAGGCATATATGTGAACCAGGCTTTAGATAAGCCCCCCTCTCCAGTAAGTCCCCTCTCCAAAAAGCCCCTCTCTCCAATAAGCTCCCTCCCAAAGGTGCCTAACACCCCCCCCCCCTCTGGGGGCCTTATTTGAGAGTTTACAGCGAGTACTTTACAGAACCAAGAGTGTTGCTGACCAACGTTTTCCACGATATAAACTTCCAGTGACAACTAACAAGTTTATAAAAACACCCAGATGCATAATATATATAATATAATACCTCATTTCTCTCTCGAATCCGGCATCTCATTTCGCTTGATACTCGTCGTTTCGTTTTTGGCACGTTTTCACTGTGCTTAAAAATTGTAGGAACTGCATCTGGTTTCAATATTTTCCTCCCTGTATGGCAGCACAACGTTTCAGCAAGTGAACTTTCGTAACTCTCTGGGCTAAAATGATCACTACATACAAACGAATGTTTAGAATCTCGAGGATTATCTCGACGAACTCTTTGAAGTCACAAACTCTTCATATGGTAAGTAGGTAAACGGTGGTAACTGACACCTGTTCCTTTCGTTTTGCGCCAGCCATTTGTACAGTTTGACACCATGCAATGAGGCATTTTGTGAGACGTTTGTGTAAAGGCAGTAAAGCCACAAGAATGTACAAATTACGAAATTTATACAATGAAAAAGCAGATTCAACTACTGTTTTGAGACATGCACGATTGCATGAAGCACTCCTGTGACGTCATAAGACTGACCGCTGACAATTATTGCGCCTACGAAAACAGGCAATATGGCGACTTTCTATTTGCAATTTTTCGAAGTGAAGCATATGGAATATTTAGCAAACGAAAAAGAATTGAGACAAAATAATTCTTCCGAAAGTCATCAAGGTAAGGCCTTTTATATGAACTAAACTTGTTGTGGAGGTAGACTTCCCCTTTAATCTGTTTTTGATCGGCAAAACAACTGAACATGATGAACCTGTCGTTATCGGAAGCAACTGTATTTGTCAAAGCCAAAACACCAGGCCTAAACTTTTCATTCCTATGCTTCTCTGCTATTCATGAAAATAGCACGTATATTTTTACCGAAACTACTGCAGATTTAACTGGCACATTTGTGTGTTTCTTGCCAGTTTTCTCGAGTGTTCGTATTCGCGTTTACAGTATCTTTCAACTTTTTATTTTTTGTTAGCCTCGCTTTAATACACAACCGCACTGATCTCAAATTATTTCTCATGCAACACTGGAATTCTAAATAATTTTGAACGCTCATTGTCTAAGAGCCGTGTTGATATAACTCATTATTTTTTATCAGTGAAAATGAAGCAATCTGATTGGCTGAGAGCCGCTCTGGCTTTCGCGACAAAAACTGAGGAGTGAAACAATTTTTTAAAAGAAAAAATCTGCCAAAAACGTTTGAAAAACATAGTCTAACGATAGTCAGAATACAATAATGAATTGCATCAAGCCCTAAAGGCTTTATAGTAAGCACGATGTTCACCAGAATTGACAATATTTTGATAGAAATGGGACTGAAAGTCGGAAAATTATTCGACATGTATAAAAGTTACGTCGAGAAAACTACATATTTTTTAAATGCTCATGTATTCGGCCACTTGAAAGCGTAAAAATTACAGCTTAAACAGTTATTGTAAAATAAATGTTTTCCCATTTAAAAAAAGTTTTATTTGCAGCAGTGAAAACAAGTCACGAATGTATTCTCTACCCATTTGTGTCATACATTCTTCACTGATATAAATATTGTAAACAAAGACAAAGTAAAAGTTTGTGTTTAAATTAAAAACAATTTTTTCAAGCATATTATCGTGAAACGACAAGAAAAAATACAAAAACATAAAAACAACATACCCTTTTCATTGACCTTTTAGTAGAAAAACGTTGATTAAATCAAAACAGATTCATTTTTATATGTTTTTGATCTGATCTGAACATGAACTTGTCGTTGTCAGGAGCAACTGATTTTGTCAAAGCCAAAGCCAAAACGCCAGGCATAAAAGTTTTTATTCCAAAGCTTCTCTTCTATACCATATTCATGAAAAAAGCATGTACATTTTTACTGAAACTATACGTCTTTTTGTGTGTTTCTTGCCAGTTTTCTCCAGTTTTCGTATCGTGTTTTATATCTTTCAACTTTTCAAATTTCAGTTTTTGTCAGCCTCGCTTTGAAAATACACAACTGCACTGATCTCAAATTAGTTCGCAAGCAACACTGGAATTTTAATCAATTTAATTTTTACATCTGATAAAAAATAAACACGTTATTTACCGGCAGCGTCGGTCCGGTTGAGAAAAACTGTGCCCTCGCTCTTGAAAACGTCTCGGGCACAGTTTTTCTCATCCGGACCTCGCAGCCGGTAAATAACATATATATATCACGACGGAAAGTTTCTCATAGTTTTGACATATTTGATCGTGCTATATATAGTATAAAAAATGTATAAAACATTTTTTCCCTATGGACATACAGTAATTACAGATCAACACGCTTGGAAATTGGGAAAAAAGCAGAAAGTTGAGATAAATGTATTTCAGAATTTCAAGATGTCAACTATGAAAATTTGCGGGCAACAGTTATAAGGATACCAAGCAAGCAATACTTGATGCAAAATTGCTTCGGACGCCAGCACAATACATGCATGTGTTTTAAATGCGTCTTTCGCGTGGAGAATTCACAGTATTAGGAGCTCCCTGAGTATATACGGATGGAAAGTAGGAATTTCAAGTATTACACCAATTTTCCATGTCTGCCGTAGCCACTTCCCGTCGGCAGTTTGAATGGAAAGGACAAGGAGTCCCTTAAGTTGATTAAGTTGGGCGGGAACTGTGAAATGTTACATATTTCCACTAGACAGTGCTATTTACCAATACAGATTCTAGATCATGCCGAGAAAGGAACATAAGCAAAGGGATTTCTTCCAACGTTGGTCTCAGAAAGAAATCTATCAGGATTAAATGTATCAGGATCATCCAAAACGTCAGGATTACGATGTAATGCCATAGTTGCCACAAGGACGGAGCAGCCTTCAGGAATATGGTACGGACCTGTAATTGAACATCCCACTATAATTTGTGATTATTTGTTATTCTTGAAGTACAAGACGTACTCATCTGAGCGGGCACTGTCCATCATTACTGTCCTGCACACGCCAAGAGTTTACTCAAGCATAACCTGGATTATTCAATGCCCAGGTGAAAGTGATGTATGTTTTTCTCCAATAGAAAATATGCCCAGATAGGTTAAGCCAAGGACCAACCTGGGGTTCAGCTCATCCTCCAAGAATTTTTATGAAACAGAACGCTGGCATATGCCATTTCGTATTTGGTTGGGAAATTGGTACACTAGTCCTGTAATAAATACTGGTAGTTGCATGCTTAGGTTGAAATATATTTCTCCTTTTTTACGTGACACTGCCATTGGTTTAACAAAAATCATCAGTTTTGAAAGGTGATTGGAAACATATTAGTTTTGAAAGTGCTTCGGGCTTTCATAGTACTCTAATTGTCCTTAATTTAATCATCGACAAAAATGTTCATCAAGTTTCCGTCAGACTTATGCCTATCATCAGGCAATATACACATGCTTACTTTAAGCAAAGTTGTTGTGGGAAATACAGTAGCTGGAAATGCACTTTCCAAGCATGTAATTTTCAAAATTTTCTGGCAGGCGCTGCGCTATTCATATAAATCACAAGTGGAAAATAATACAAAACTTCGAAGCTAGTCGGGAAAATTACCTGGGAAACGAGTGAATATAAAAGCGATCACGTGCCAAAGAATGAACCAATCAGATGGATTTCGTCCAAACAAAGTGTAAACAAAAAATGTAAATCATATTCAGAATATATTAATACTAGAAGGCCAGCGGTTGTAAATCAGACACAGATCAGATGGAAACATTTTTTACCCATAATTTTGGCGATATTGCTTGTTTTAGCCGAACTAATTCAGACTATTGATTAAACATTCCTACACGAATACAGACATTGATTAAACATTCATGCAGTTCTTTTGAAATTTCTTCCTGAATTTATTAATAGATCGTTTAAAAACATAATGTGTGAGGAGAAGCGACAGCCTTCTATCACCACATACAAATTTTCTTACAAAATTTACATTCCTCTGTTAATTCACGGACCAGAAGTGGCACTGATGGAAACAATCGTAGAGCTTCCTGTAAATAGAGAATAATTCCAATAAAAAGAAAGCACACTTTTCAACATTAATTCCGTATATATGTTAGCATCGAAAAATGGATAATAAAGCACCTCGGTTACTGTAGATACTACGTATATTTTATATAAAGCACATGAGCAATACAATAAGCCTGATACGAAGTGTGTTATATATTAATAAACAATATGGGGTATTACTGAATAGGGTGTGGTGACAGCGAAATCAATCTAGATCTCCATTATTTTGTATATAGTACGTTTTAAATGAATTAACTTAGGTCCTTTATCTTATATTGCAATTAATACTGTGTTGAAAGATTAAGACAGAGAAGAGGTCGATCAGAACCACAAATTTCTTTCCTTGGACCAAAAGACTTTCATGTATGTGAAATTTCAGTATTTGTAGGAATCATATATATATTTTTTAAACAATTGCACCCCATATCAAGTAAGCCCATTGCCTCATTTCACTCCTCACTATCCGCCATACGTTTGATACGTTTGACGACAGTGTAAGGTCCGCCAATGATGACATAGCCACACGCCCACGGTAATCAACGAACTATAGACATCTTTCTGCTCTCTTTTCATTATTTATATTTTTACCCTGGCTGCGGACTAGGAATGAAACATACCTTCACCACACATTCCAGAAAATTTAAATCCTTGAGTTGACCTGGCTTTATATTTCCATCAACCGATACAGATTCTGTTAAAGTACGATAGTCTTTTATGAATAGTACTATAGACTTCATTCATAAATCGTAATCGAGGCCTTGTATCCTAGGATACGGGTAAAAACGCGGGAAAACAAGCGAAAACTACTTGACAAGCCAAATTCAGATGCTATTGTGTCGACGGCTTGTTTCTTGTTGCTTAGTTCGATTTATAACGATTTTGTGTCTATTTTTGTGCCCAGAACCAAAAACTGTAAACAGTATATTATAGAAACGATCGGGTTTTTTCCGGCTTTTTTGTGTGCAAAATATTGAATTGAATTTTATTTGCCCATATGAAAAAGTTAATATTTACAATCTAAAGTATACAATAAAATATGACGGGCTAGGAGCCTTCATGAAACCCTTTCAGGCTTTTTGTTCAAAGGTCCCCAGTTCTATAATATTTTTACAATTGTTTTATATGGTAAGTTAATCATATAATGTCGAAAGAATATAGGAATATTTACAAATACAAGTATAAAGTAAGGAAAATTCTAAAGTAAAAGTAATATAATGAGCTAATTGAACAAAGTTTACAGATAATAACAATTAAAGTATATTTTACAAGAAAAATAATTTTGACTTTTTCTTAAAAGTACAATAAAATGTAATACTGCTAATTTCATTATCGAGTGAATTCCATATCTTAACTCCCTTGTTAACAATAGAATGTTTTGCATAATTTGTTCTACTAAAATTTACATGAAATTTGTTAGCATTTCGAGTATTGTAATGATGCACTTCATTGTTCTGTGCGAAGTAGCCATTAAAATATTCAGTTAAGTTTTGTAGACGTTTAAACCGGTACATAAATAAACAACTTAAATAGTCATTGATCTTAAAGATATTCAAGATCTTTAAGTTCTGAAACAATGGCTCAGTGTATTCAAGATACGATTTAAAACTTATCAATCTGATAATTTTTTTCTGTATATTCTGTATTTTCTGTAGCCTTGTTGGGTACGTATTACCCCATACTAGATTCCCATAAGTAAGATATGGATAAACCAATGCATAATAAATCAACTTAAGTGTATTTTTGTTTGTGTAATGTCGTAGTTTTGCTATAACCCAGCGGGCAAAATGACGTTTATCCAATGTTGAATCAACGTTGTAAATGACCTTCCAGACGTTGGATAGACGTTGAAAAAGGGTTGACTATGCAAATTGGATCGACGTTACTGTTTTGACGTTGAAACAACGTTGAAATTAGGTTGCCAATCTCGTCGACCCTAATTCAACGTTGAATCCACGTTAAAACAACGTTGAGATTGGTTCACAAATCGACGTCGTACATTTAACCATGAATTCAACGTCTGTTGGCTGCTGTTGAACCAATGTTTGTAAAACAACGTCAGAGCAACGTAGATATTAGGTTGTCGACGTCGCAACCTTTTTTCTACCAAATATCAACGTTGAAACAACGTCGTGTGCCGGTGGGAAGTGCCGAAGATTTAATTATATGTTTAGCAACCGAATTTATATGGTTTTTCCATGTTAATTCACGATCTAAAATTACACCTAAAAATTTGATATGAGAAGCCTGTTGTATAATGTTATCATTAAGTTTAATATCGATTTCAATGTCGCATTTTTTTATTTCTTGATTTAAAAATTATATACTTAGTTTTTGTTGTATTTATAGATAATTTATTCACGTTTAGCCATTTAATTACTTCATTCATTTCTTCTTGCATAACATGTGTTAATGATTTTAAGCATTTTTCAGAGTGAAATGCATTAGTGTCATCAGCATACCTAACAAAGGATATAATTTTACTACAGTTTTCAATATCGTTAATATATAACAGGAAAAGTAGTGGCCCAAGAATAGAGCCTTGCGGAACTCCTGTAGATATAATCAATTTGTTTGATTTATGATGACCAAATTTAACAATTTGCATTCTTTCATGTAGGTAGCTTTCAAACCATTTTAGGCAATTTCCTCTTATGCCATAATGTTCAAGTTTTTTTAGGAGAATATCGTGGTTAACTATGTCAAAAGCCTTAGATAGATCAACGAAAATACCAATTGTATATTTACCACCATCTATAGCTTTTAAAATTTTGTCAGTTAGTTCAATTATAGCATGTTCAGTTGACCGATTTTTCCTGAAACCATATTGATGTTTAGACAAAATATTATGTTTTTCAATAAATGAAATTAGTCTTTTATGCATTATTTTTTCAAGTAGTTTTGAAAAACATGTGAGAACTGAAATTGGTCTGTAATTTTCAAGCAGGTATCTTTCATTTGCTTTAAAAATAGGAGTAACGATAGCTATTTTTAGTGATTCCGGGATTACTCCGGTATCAAACGTTAAATTGAAAATATGTGCAAGAGGTTTGCAGATTTCTTGTTTTATAGTTTTTATCATTTTGGCACTTATATTATCATGTCCTGCACTTTTATTTGTATTTAAGTTATCAATCTCAGTCAATATTTCAAGTTCAGTAACAGGCTCAGCAAACATACTCTCTCTATAGTTTCCTTTGAGATATTTTAAAATGATACTGTATCATTTTTTCGAATACCTTTTGCCAAATTTGGACCAACATTTACAAAATATTCATTAAATTTGTTAGCAATTACGGTTGGGTCAGAAAAATTAATATCTGAGTTCTTTTGTTGAAACACGTGAGAAAGTTTTTCCTTCTTTTTATTTCTATTCAGTAGTTTATTTATTGTTTGCCATGTCATTTTGCTATTGTTTTTGTATTTAATAAATTGATTTTCAAAGTAATCTTTTTTACTAATTTTAATTAAATGTTTTAATTTATTTTTGAAATTTTTGTAATAAAATAGTTTTGTTCTTTTCACTTGGGTTTTTTAGACACTTTTTATAGAGTCTGTTTTTAATTCCAATAGACTTAGAAATACCTTGAGTCATCCAAGGGCTTTTATCGTAATTAATTACAGTATATTTCGTTTTTGCCGTTTTACTAAAGGAAAGCTTTTATCAAACGTTTGTATATTAGTTTATTATGGAAATTCTTGTATGATTCAGAGGGGTGATTGTCTTCAACAATAATATCCCATGATATATCTTTCACAGAATTAGAAAATAATAGAAGACTGGCATTATTAACTATTCTTTGATGTTGCGAAGTTTCAACTTTAGAACTGTACATTTTCGTTGGGAAAGATGCAATATGAAAAATTGGATGATGATCTGATATATCACTAAAAACTAATCCATTCTTACTGGATTCAATTTGTTCTAGGTCATTAGTGAATATATTGTCAATTAATGTTGCGGTATGTTCAGTTATCCTAGTTGGTCTTGTAATAAGAGGCAAAAATGATGACGTAAAAAGTTGCTCACTGAATCTATTCGAAAAGTCACAACTTTCAGTTTTTAAGAGGTCAATGTTAAAATCGCCCATTAAGTAAGTTATTTTTTTTGACTTATCAATTTTAGTAAGAATTTTGCTTAAATTCGTTTCAAATATTTCAAATTTTCCTTTTGGTGGTCGATAGATCGTGCCAACAACAATCTGTTTGCCAACTGTTGTAATTATTTCAACGAAGAGCGATTCAATTATTCCCTCTTCGTTGAAATTAAGGTCAGGACGAAGTTTGAAATTTATATCATCAGAAATAAACATTCCAACTCCTCCGCCTTTTTATTGTTTCTGTTTGAGCTAATTAAGCTACAATTTTCTAACTTAAAATCTGTATAGTTTTCATCATCAAGCCGTGTTTCTGTTAAACTAATTATCGAAAATGAGTATTTAAGTGATTCTAACAAAAATTTGAAAGAGTCAAATTTGTTTACTATACTTCTTATGTTTAAATTCAAAATAGAAAATAGGTTATTATTACTATTTGGTATGTCACGCGAAACATCATTTGGAAGGTAGTACTTGCATGTAATATTATCAATGTTAGGAAGCATGTTGTTGTCGTAATCAACATTATCAGTAGTTGTGTGTGAGTTATCAAAAGGGTTAAATTTAAGTTGCATCAATCTATCCATCCTCATCACTGGGAAGTCGAGAAAAATCCCCAAAAGTAAAGTTAAAGTTTATATCATCTATTGAGCTAAAAGGTAGCGAGTCGCTTAAGCACAAGTGGCATGTTTCGATTTCCGTTTGTTGACATGTGAGAGGCGATTTAATGCAGATATTCTTAGCATGTAACCACCTCCCACACAGCACACAAACAATGCCGCGTTTATCAATGGCTATTTCACAAAAACATGCAGAGCATATTGTTTTGTTTATGTTTATAGAAGCCATTTAATTTTTTAATCAATTAGATAATAAAATGCGTACTAAATATAATTGAGCGATAATTTCTTTAGTTATTATGGGGAATAAACTCCACATTGTTAATATAAAGTTTACCACGAACCAAACGCACTCTCTGCTTTGCCGCTTTGCTCTCCTCATTTCAGGGTAGAGGGTTTGACGCACTTTTTCAATCTCTTCAGGAAACTGTTCGGAGATACCGATCTTTGTTCCCCTTAATTTTTTCGCATTGAAGAGAATTTTCTCCCGATCGGGGAAAAAATTAAATTTTGCAACTATGGCTCTCGGTTTTCTGCGGCCATCGCGTTTCCTACCAACTCTGTGCGCTCGATCGATCTTGATGCTGCTTCTTGCTTCTGGCATATCAAGTTTTTCCTCCAACAAGCTATAGATCACTTCAGTCCAATCTTCCTCTTCTGCTTCATAAATATAACAACGTACTATAGAGCGATGGTGTTTATCGCGAAGCAAAAAACAGTATTTTACTGAGATTTTAACGTCAATATAATAGTTATTCCGTGAAAAATCAAGACAACTATGGAATGAAAGTATAATTCGTGGAATTTGTCGTTAACATAAAAGAAAACAAAAGGTCAAAAATCACAAAAGAATGTCAAATGTTATTGATTCGCACGGAAAAGTATGAACTATGTCTGCGGTCCGATGACATTCTTCAAGCAGCTTACAAGTTTAAAAACTGAAGGCTACATTACCTGAGTGAGTTGCAATCTTATTTCTACAACAATAGTTTTATATTTCTCACGATTTTGGTCTTGTAGACGTTTTGTAGCCTTGTTGGTTGGTTGTTTTGGCCTATAAACTACGACAATAGTACAAAGGATTCCTTTTCCGATTGACTCCAGCATCTTTTACGTTAAATATCATGTTATATTTTCTCAGAACTATTATTTCAACTTTCAAGCTCAGTTTTATAGATAATATTTTCGAAAAAAGCCGTAATATTTTCGAAAAAAGCTGCCATAGCCGTAGGCCGTAGGTTGAGCATCCAAAAATGCAATTCCGTTGCACCCCTCGTGGAACTACGTAAATTTCGCATGAACAAATAGATAAGAACTTACTTTATCAGAATCCGTTGCTCCCCAAGCGAAACAGGTGCACAATTGGGAGAAAAATCCCTCCAAATTTGATATCTTCGCGCTTCGAAATACTCGAACCGCCATTGTTTTGGTAGCAAATACGCATGCGCAACTCAGCCAAACTCCCACTGCGCGCGCGCAGACAATGAAAATAGATTCTTACTGCGGGGTTTCCCTATAGCTCAGTGGGTTTCGCCGATTTCCTCCGCAAAAACCAACGAAATAAAATCACGGAATACTGATCAAACCTTGTAATATAAATACACCCACATTAAATATTGTTTAATTAAAACACATTGTATATTTTGCTTGCTCATATGCTAAATCACTTCAATTCATTGGTTATTGTTTCAAAATATCGTTTTAATGTTTAATTCTACTTTATATTAACATCCTAATTCAATACAAATTTGTGTGAGGTAAAAAACCCACCTGTATCAAACAGGACGGAGAATAAAAAATATATACATACAATTCACACGATCAAGGAACAAATGAAATATTTCGCTAAACTTAAAGCCTTGGCGAAACGTAAGAAACAATGTCGCAGAAATTTTGTGATTTTTAATTGGCTTTTATTGCAGAAGCAAAATTTGCTTCCCAGAAAGCAAACTACTTCCTACCAAATTCAGAAGCATTTGATGAAACACTCTTTATCCATTTGCCGACGCTGATAAGACAATATGACATACAGAAAGATTGGAAGACAAATAATATGACAACAGTGTTTCTCAGTTCGTCCCGGGCTTTAAGGCATATTTATATAAACACCTAGGAAAACCTCTGATTGAATCTTTAATGTATTATTGAGTAACTATGCAAGATCTTTGGCTCTTCTTAAACTGTGCGTTCCACCATTGCTTAGTACACTCTATGGATACCAATCCTGGATTTGGACCAACTTTTCCATTCGCTCCAGCCATATTTTCCAACCATCTGTTCCAACAGACGAAGCCGGACTGCACCAGTGAAGTACATTGAACTGTGAAAGAAACATGTCCAAGGCACCAACTCGAAACTATTCATCATAAAAAAAAGATAAATTGGGAGAAAATATAAAATCCATAATTTCACTAAAACTATCTATAATTAAAAGAAATGTTTTCATCTTTGAACCCAGATTTTCATCAGAGCAATAAAATCCCACTTATTGGATCCTGGCAAAGGGCTTACAGGCTCGTGGTCATACCAGTTGACTTTTTCTTATAGATTTGGTGCTGTGCGTTTCAGCTCCTCCACCAGGGTGCGTTTCAGCTTGTCAGACATGACCATACTGTTAACCCTGTCCATGAGAGGGATATACGTGTTGATAGTATAAATACTGTGGATCCGAATGAGAATATTGAATAAGTAAATAAATACTGATCTACTGCAAGTGCATTACCATCATTGTTCACCTCAAATCATTAAAAATTCATGAGCAAATTAGCCAACCATATTGCCTTATTTTGCTCACATGATAATACTGGATACCTTATGAAGTATACTGATCCTGTAGTGTCCTAGGACTGGATTAAAATTAATTCAGTCGTTGGACTGGATCAAAATTAATTAAGTAGTGATTTATATTCAGTGTCCTTAGCAATGATAACAAATTTCTCCAGCAAATCTTTCATATACTTTATTTGCTTATTTCCTATGACATCCATCTCGATTACATTCTTACAGAATACATCATAAGACTTCTCGTACACTGATGTAGATCTTTCAGTCTCCGATTGCTTCTTCGTCTCTCTGTTGAGAAATATTGTATAATTGCAGTAACAAACTAGCGATAGTGGACTTCCAGAGCTACACAGTCTTTCCCCCGGATTTGCACGAGTATCCGTTCATCATTCTTTCTCTCGGCAGCTGTACGTAGAAGACCAGAATCAATTGTTTCTGCCAACATGAGTGGGGTTCTTCTTCTCTTCTTAGTTACCTGGTGTGAAACAAAATTATTAAACTAAATATCTGCTAATAACAAGGTTGGATGTTTGTAGCATAGAAACTACTTTACCCTAAATAAACTTAATTGATCACAATTCAATATATTTTAAAACCAAACCCGAGAATGTTGTGCACATTGCGATAGTATTATACCTATCAAAATGACCATACCTTGTCTAGTGAGAACCACAAGGCGTCTCTTCCACAAATAATACATATCTCTGGGAGTACATGCGCGTTTCTTTTAGGCAGGGCCTTATTTTATATAGCTTCTGCGACTGATTGACGTGTAACTTTTCGCCTTGGTTCTATTGGCTCCACTTCCACGTGTGATTCTTCAGTAGAAGTTACAGTTTTAGAGCTAGTTCCTTCTCCTTTTTTTTCTTTTCTCTGTTGTCTACGGATCTTCTCTTCATCACGAAATCTCTTCCAGCATTTCATATGATGGTACCATTCTAAGTTCATGGTGTCAGGGTTCTTCTCCATGTATGAATTGACAGATCAGCCATCGATGTTCTCATACGATTTCTTAGCTATTTCAGCTTGTTGACGTTTAAGTTTGGCCCATTTTGACCTACACTCAAGAAATTTCTTAAGTCTTTGGCGTGTAACTTTGCAAAGTTGCTCCGTAACGCCATCAAAATGCATAAAACATGAGGATATTCGAGTTTTATAAATATCTTCAGCCATGATTTATTTGCATAACTGAGCGTGTTTCCACTTCGAAGCATGTGCGTTTGTTGTGCGCGTGCGTAGTGCGAGTTTGGCTGAGTTGCGAATGCGTATTTGCTATCAAAACAATGGCAGTTCGAATATTTCGAAGCGCGAATATATCAAACTTTGGAGGGATTTTTCTCCCAATTGTTCACCTGTTTCGCCTGGGGAGCAATGGATTCTGATAAAGTAAGTTTTTTATCTATTTATTCATGTGAAAATTACGTAGTTACACGAGGGGTACAACGGAATCGGTATTCCGTTTTCTAAGCATCTTTTGGATGCCCATCCTACGGCCTACCGACAGCAAAACAACATTCTGTCAATTTTCTATATTAATAAGATATTTAACTGCTTACACAATGCCCTCGAATCATTGCTCATCCATTTTCGTAAAATTCAATCAGAATTTGTTCAATTGGCCTTGACTAACATCGGCCTGCTTTATTTTCATTATAGGATATAAAGCTTTCTTGTTTGTACTTTTTCGGTATGGTAACATCAGTCAGTATTAAAACAGTAACAAATCGATAGGCAAACAAGAAATAAATTTGGGAGTGTTCATTATTTGGGGAATTGCATGTACCGACGAGAAATGAGTTGGGTAAGCCATTTTTCTGAAGTCAGCAGATTAACCTTTGCCCCCAACGTGATTTTCGACCAATCAAATACGGAAGAACGTTTTGTGAGATGGACACCTAAAATTAAGGGGTGGACATCAAATTTTGAGGGGTGGACATCAAATTTTGAGGGGTGGACATCAAATTTTGAGGGGTGTACATCAAATTTTGAGGGGTGGGCATCAAATTTTGAGAGGTGTACATCAAATTCGAGAGGTGTACATCAAAGTTGAGAGGTGGACATCAATTGTCGAGTAGTGGACATCAAATTTTGAAAGATGAATATAGCAAAATCGCAAAAACAGGAAGTGGAAAGTAATGCATGGCAGCGGCTAGACGACCAATCAGAAAGGATACGGGACATATTTATATACATACATATACATACAAAACTTTATTTAAACCACGCTAGCCTCAACATCCGTTGGAAGACTGGTTTCCATGAGGGGCGTGAAATTACCTATTTACAAGAAATTAACTATTTACAAGAAATACAAAAATATAACAAAAAAAATACAAGTGATTTTAGCTGCACGATTACACACAAGCACATTTCAACTCATTCTTTGTTTTAATATCGATCAGAAAGAGCTTGAGGATTCATCAATTTTTGCCTCGTGGGGAAGATTATTCAAATGCAAGGGACCATTATAACTGAAGCACCTCTTGCCGAATTCTTTTTTCGGCATAGGTGGTCCTAAATCAGTATCCCTATGCTTCCTTAAGACTGGGTGCGGTGTGGCCATTTATAATTTTATAGATGAAAATAGATTTAATTAATTAAGATAATTTCGTCTTTCTTCGGGAGGTTTCCAATTTAGATTATCGAGTAACTCAGATGACCGAATATCGTAAGTTGCCCCAGTAATTACACTTGCAGCACGATTTTGGTACTTTGCAACCTATCTTTCAGCCCAATTCCGCAATTATCCCATAACGGGCTGCAATAATCGAAATAAGGCTGCATAATAGCATTCTATAGCATTTTGGTTGTCGACAGTGG